TCAAGTATTTAGTATAGAATACTACGTGCGCTGTTCGTACGACGATTCGCTATCAAAATATCGATTTCGTCGCGATCTAGATTGCATTTCATGGTTCGTCAAAAAACTGAGAAGTTTAGCACATCGCGTAAAAAAAAAATTTAGCAGCTAATATCCCCATGGAAACTTTGTCGAGTGAACAGTGGGAGACATTGTGCAGCGCGACGCATTGTCACGTGTGCCTTTCGCGGACAATAATCGAGTAAGCGATCATTGCCATTTAACTGGTCGTTACAGGGGTCCCGCATTCAAATTGCAATTTAAATTATAAAACCTCATATTTTATTCTCATAGTTTCCTACAATTTATCAGGCTATGATTCACATTTTATTATCAAAGAAATAACTACGACAGCATACGAAGGCAGTTTAGATTTATTACTAATAACAAAGGAAAATATATATTATTTACAAAAAATGTTAAAGATACCGCTGAAAGATTAGATTCGAGAAATAGCATAAAATTACTATTCATCAATTCTTATAAATTTTTAAGTACCACTCTCGACAAATTAGTATCCTTTCTCAATGAAAATGAATTTCGAATTTACAATGCGAATTTCAAAATTTGTCCGAAGAAAACTTCGAGTTACTGACACGAAAAGGGATTTTTTCATACGAATACATTGATTGCGCTGACAAGTTGCAGGATACACGTTTATCACCGCGCGAATCATTTTACAGTTCCTTGACCGGTGACACTGTATCCGAAAGCGATTACGCGCACGTGAATGTTTGGCAACAGTTCTCTGTTCAAACCTTGGATGAATACAGCGATCTATATTTAAAAATGGACGTGTTCGATGGTTACATCCGATGTTTAAACGATGAAATTGAAATGACGCGTCAATAGTCATGCATAAGATCAAAATTAATCAAGTATATACGATATCTGAGATGAAAATCGCTCTGAGTTCGTACGGCGACAAACAATACACATTATACTGAATTCAACCAAAACATTATCATGGGGACATTATCGAATATCTTTGTAAAAAATGTCGTGTAATTGTATTATGGAAATGTACTCATATTATATTATCGAAATGTATAACCTTAAATAATTATTGTATATAGTATTACATTTATATAGTGTTACATAGTGTTTTTATAGTAAAAAATAAAAATTTTTTTTATATTTTACAAATTGAAAAAGATGGATACAAATAATAAATATTTTATATATCTTATATTTCTTTCATATACTTTTTATATATATTTTTATATTCAAAATAAATACATTTTTTTAAATGAAAATATAGTTTGTATGAATTAAACTATATTATCCTTGTGTATCTAAGAATTATGTGATGGATCGAATCCCAACCATTTTACATAAACCTCGTCTCCTCTCTTGCGCAATACTTTCTCCATGAGATACACGCACGGATAAGCCGCGCGATGTAACTCATGTTCATAGAACGCTCCAGAGATCGATTTTCCGCGATAGTTGTCCAGTAGATTAGTAGAAGTTACGGAAATAGTATGTTCAATAAAATCCGTAAAATCACTTTAATGATTTTAAACACCTCGATGGTCTAATATGGTGTATAGCCCTTCTCAAAGGTTTTATATTTGCTTACACGTACCGAATCACTTATTTTGAATTTTGTCGGACCCTTTATGTTGCTGTATATCGTGGACAACAGTTTTTCAGCGATCGCGGGAGTAACGTCCATGGTCAGATTATAACACGCGCAAGCATCAAACAATCGCATGTCGATTGTTCGATGCTTGCGCGTGTTATAATCTGATACAAGTTGCGACAGCGCATTGATCTATTATAGTTTCTGTTAAGTGTAAAACATCTTCCACATATCGTTTTTTAATGATTGAATCGCTCGACGATCTATGCCTTCATTACGGAGTACGTTGAATAATGATTAATGTTGTGTTTTTTCAAAAGCCGTTGCACGTCAACGTTGTAAAATTCTTTTCCCATACCGGTCTGTAGATTTTTTGGACATCTCTTGCTTTTTTAAATTATCTCAGCAATAGCTTCAGTCGTCTCGCTTCCACCTTTACTCTTGAGCGATATGACTCACGTGTACTTGCTCAATCGACGACGGTATATATAATGATGGCCTCTGTTGAAACGCGAGTATGGATGCATCTCGGCGATGTCAGCCTGCCACAGATCATCATATCCTCGGATGGCGCGCCTTCGCGGAAAATTTCTTCTCGCCGGAGTGTGCAATTCCTCGACGAGCCGACGTCTGTTGGAGCTAATTTTTTTCTCTCTTTTCATCGGATTTCTTTTTCATGACTCGGCGCGTAATATAAGAAATGCACGATATAAGAAACAAAGAAAATTTTTTTCTTAATGGCGTAACTCGACTAACTCATTTCATGCATACGCAATTTAATTTATAATGAGACCGGCTTCGCGAAGTTCCTCGATAATCGTCAGCATCTCGTTATCGTGAGCGTTGTTGCCCGCTTGGTGCGAAACGTCGAGCAATCGTAAACGATCCATTAACTCGTTGGGATTATCCCAGTGCACGTAATCGATCGCGCTATCGTTCAGCATCATTATGTGAGGTAATCTTTTTCCAGATTTTTTTCTGTTTCTTGGCATGATCGACATCAACGGCGCGATTACGTGTTTGTACTTGTATCTCCTTGCTCAATACACAACCCTGCGAATGGTGCGCGTTCGTCGCCAGCAGCTCTTGTACTTATGCATATCGTCTTTCGTGTAGAGGAATTCTTTTGAAAATCAACTCGTAAAAATCATGTATACCATCGTGTCATACGCCATCGAATTATGTTGTCCGCCTCATCCGCGTCGAAAGATTTAATGCCAAACATCAGTCCATCCTTGTGTAATTAAACGCCATACACGTCATCTATACCGCTCTCTTTTCCTCGCGCTCCTCGCAGGATAGCCTCGACTTTTGACCCAGCGGGCCCAATCCGGCTCGCAACGTTTCTCGGCCTTCCGACGTTTGCAACCGATTTTGAACCTTCGTTGCTAGCGAGTCGTTTCGAAAACGTTCTCGAACAATTCTATCGGTTGTACGATTTTTGTACGCGGTGTGGAAATTATCGGCTGTACACGATCGTACGATCGATCATCGAATTTATGCAAAGACGCGGAGGGTTCGAACGTTACGCTATTTTTCTCATCCTTCTCTTCCTCCTCCTCCTGCTACTCCTTCTCCTTTTCCTTCCTCTAGCGCTTAATCAGATGCTGCGTCATTGTAGCGTAACTCTCTCTTTATTGTGTAAACGCCGGAGCTGTGAACGATCTATCGCAATGGTTTGATAACAGGCTTAAAATGCCTGTCCAACGCAATGTCCTCCTCGATTTTACTTTCTTCAAAGCGCGATGTTTCTTGAGGATCGACTCGCTCGTCTTCTTGATCTGTTCCGCGATTTTTTCACGCTTGCACACATCAGCCATGCTTGTCTCTGGCGAAGTATCAACAACGATTGACCACGTTACGGTATCGCGAATTCATTAAATCCTTTTCTGTATATCCCGTCTTTAAACGCACTGTCCTTGTCTATCACTAGAAATGCATATTTTTGTTGCCAATAGTCGCGACACAACGTGCAAAATTCATCGTACGACATATCAGTATTCACGTGATAGTTGTAAACGTGTTTTAAATTGGTATCATCCGGTTTGAACAGGATTAACAGGTTTGCGTTGTCGCGTACATCTGACAGAGATAGAGGCAGTCGATGTTCGCTTGGCGACCCATCGAGAAGTATTCTCTCACTGTATCCTGCTTGTCACATGCCACATCATCAAAGATAAAAATAGAATTTGGGCGCGCCTTACTCGATGGAACGATGCCGCTGTTGTTGAAAAACATAAAGTAGCAATTTCGTCGATAGACGTAAATAAATTTTCGAGATATTGATACTTTGGCTGTTGGAGCGATTTTGAATAGACGTACTCGAAACGTATGTCGTTCGGACTCTCGAGCACTTATAAGAACGTTGGTTTTACCACAATTCGATGAGCCGCAAATAATTGCACGTATAATACTTGGCAGCATTTCACTTGCTTTTCTCCATGCCGCCTCCCATCATTCGCGATTTTGCGTCGCAATTCGTGACGCGTATCGTCAGCGGTTGCCGTACGAATTTTATGCTCACACTACGGATTGTGCGCTCTTGACGGCCTATTTAAAGGCGTGCAAATTTGCGAATCGCACAGTATCAAATGTATCTCGCACTGTGTAATTCTTTCGATATTCAGAACTTAAGCGCTGAGCAGTTGCAGTATACCGAAGATCATACTCTTACGCGTGTACGGTGACTATATCGACCGTGTGTAGGACACAAAGCTTCCGGAACACGTAAAAGCGAACCCGGAGGTTCGAACCTATAGTCGCTGCGACGATCAGTCGCTATAATCAGTCGTGGCATCGATGGTCCGGCACCGAAGATAAAGAACTGTAGTGAATATTGGCGTCGCGTGGCGGTCTGCTGAATCGAGCGATAAACGCGCTTCCTTTCAAGTTACATATCCCGGGCTAACAGTTTTGCTGTCCAGGCATTCGGCTTACGAAGCGATTAGCCAGAGGTGACACAGACATAAATCCGCTGGATGCGGCGTGCCAAGAACACGACATTGCGTATTCTCGGAGCAACAATCTCACCAATAGACACGCGGCAGACAAGGTGCTCGCCGATAAAGCGCTAGGTCGCGTCACCGCGAAAGATTCGACTCTGAGCGAAAAAGCCGCCGCTGCTACCGTTTGGGCAGCAATGAAAGCCAAGATCAAGATCGGCATGGGCATGAAATCGAAGAAGAAGACGACGAAGAAAAAGACAACGAAAAAGCGGATACTACCGACGGCGAAACGAGGCGGCGCGTTACCGTTTCTGCCAATGTAGGGCGCGCTTGGGTCTTTGATTGCCGGAGCGGTCAGCGTGGCGGAAGCGATAAATGATAGGAAAGCCGTGCAATGTCAGCTCGAGGAGCTGCAACGTCATGATTGCGCGATGGAACAGGGTCGCGAACTGAATCTCGCTCCGCACAAATACGGACGCGGACTGTATCTTAGCCTCTATAAACGCGGACAGGGTGTGACAGCGAAGAAAAAAAAACGCCAAAGAGACGATAAAAATGCCCTCGGGTGCAACTACCAATGTGCAATTAGACGTTCTCGCGAGACGACTATGCGCGTACCATACTTTAAAGGTTTTATGCGTAACGCGTTACCGACAAGCGGCGCCCGTCAAAACGAAAGCGGTATCGTGAATCTGGACGATGCAACCGAGCCGCAGGTATTCATTGAGTCACCTACGCGAAGAGGAACCATGTAGTGTACTTTGACAGTTTCGGTAATCTTCGATCGCCTAAGGAATTAGTATTTCGGGATATTTCGGGAACAATTTTACGATGATAGAGTACAATCGCACGTCTTATCAGACGTACAATCAGAACTTCTGCTTGCGGTTTCTACGAACGGTCGATGCGCGCAAATTTATAAAACCCGAGAAGGAGTGGAGTCGAGAAATCTCATTATTTATCGAACACTTTTTCCGTAATGTCGTTGACACTTACGCTGAGCGAGAAAAGCAGTATCCTTATGGCAAACTACTTTCCTGCCATAGAGTTGTGTCTACGAGCTCGGTCTGATGATCTTTGAGACTTATCACACGATACCAAACGTGAACAAATCGAATAATAAATTTTATTTCGGCAAAGACGACGTGGAAATTACAATTCCCAAGGATTTGTACGAAGTGCGAGACATAAATGAATTTTTGAAACGTGTGATTTTACGATAACGTTCGCGCCGCGACGCACTTGATACCATTGATGCAGTGATGCGATTTCCGGGCCGCTTGCAGCACGCGATCAGCGCCACCGATCGGCGGCATGGCGCAACCGGTAGCAACACAAGCACGAACCCGTGTCCGTGTGACTTGTTTAGTTAGAAGCGTGCCGACTATATCGTGCTGTCCTTTTTGCACTACGTTTTTATTGCTTGCCTTGTCGGCGCGCTGAGAATGAGAGAGAACCTTGCTGTCACTCAAGCAAACGTCGAGCCGATCGAGCCGACCGAAATATGTTTTCTCGGCTCTCGGAAGTCTCGGCAGTTTCGATGTCAGGCCAGGCGTATATCAAGAGACATGGGGGCATGAGAACGCTTTTGATAACATATAAATTTTAATAAATTGTAATAATCATATACCTCTCCCATTAATCCAGAATATTATAAATCGTATCAAAACGCAATAGTTGACGAGAGATTAATTGTTTATGATTCGTGGTATGTACCACAGTCATAAATTCGATCCGCAAGAAATTGGCGTGGTCGAGCGCGTAAGGTGTGAGATTGGAAACAAGTACTATAATTAGTAGTCAACATATATATTAGGTCAAATATTTATTATATTATATTATATTTTCATATAATTTTTGAAATTATTGTATGTGTAATTTTTAAGCAATAGTTGTAGGAAAAAAAACCGATTCGCTTTTCAATAAGCAAATACAAAATTATTTTAAAATTACACAACATATGAAGGCTTTCAATTGTGTCCTATAAAATTGTATTGGTATCATCTTTATTATAGTATATTATTAGTAATCTCGTTTTCGAAATTTTGTTTATTAACAGAATTTTAAATGCGGATGTGATAGTTAGAAAGAAACATTTTATACAAAATATTGATCGACACGAAGCGTATTTGTCACAAACGCAACATCATTAAACATGTTTTTTTTTATATGAATCTTTCATCGATCAAGTCGAATACATACCATACATGTCGAATCATTATTTTTCCTATAATTTTTTATTTTAAGGTACACGATAATTGCAATTGTTATACAAAAATATATTATTTGACCTTATACAGATAATTAATTAAACTACTTATATCACAAAAGTATATTAAGGCGAAAAAAAGGAAAGAACAGGATTTTTGCGAGACTATACTGAACTCAGCATACTGCCCGTACATTTTATTTACTCAGTCACATCGATTAATTGAGTTTGACATTTACTAGTGCGACATAGAATCCACACGACGAACGCTCTCGTGTTCTCGTATTCTCAAGAATCTCGGATTGTCGATGCAACGCGCGATATTATTATCAAAATATCACTCTCTTTCTCTACTTCCCTATATATCTGAAATATTAATTGGAATAAAGTGAGGTGTATTAGATATTATTATGATACTTCTACGAAATACACAACATTAAAATCTGTGAGTGTGAAAGTATCCACTCTTGACCAATATGTACGTTTTTTAAAATGTTATGTTAAGTATGTTATATTAAAAAATTAATTGTAGCAGTTTTAATTATACCATAACTTATAACGTAAATTATTTATAAAATTTTGTATTGTTTTTTTCATCTTATGTATTTTAAATAACGTATATATTATTGCTCAACGGAAATCGCGAGAAGGTGGTGGTCTATTCCGTCAGGAGAGAAATGTAAAAAATAGTTATTACATAAAAAATTATTACATAAACATTATTAATATACCAAAATAAATATAAAGTTTATGTATGTTAATAAATTTACAATATATTTACAATTAACATTTATTGTTAAAAACTAAATGTTTAATTTTTAACATTTCCCTGAGTGTTTGTGTGTGTGTGTGTGTGTGTGTGTGTGTGTGTGTGTGTGTGTGTGTGTATGTGTGTGTGTGTGACAATATTTTTAGTTTTTAAGCATTATGTTCGGAAATTTTAACACGCTGACTTTTCCCTTCTCCATGAGTAAGATGTCTAAAATCGATGCAAAATCAACTTTATACAAGATACCTTTTAAAGTTCTTTATAAAATATCTTCTAAAGATGCTTCTTAAAGAACTTTTAAAGAAATCTTAATGTTGCCTTATGTGTCGACTTTATATGTTTCGCTCATTGGGTTTATAAGCGTCATACTCTTGCGGACAATATTTTTAATACGCTTTTAAACGTTATATTCTTACAGATATTTAAGTAAATTTACAAAAGATTTAAATTTTACATCTAATATTTTAATCTGTTCTCGAGAGACCAGCAGTATCATTTATATCAGCAGCATGGAATCCTAAAGTACTGCGTTTTTTTAAGCAACACTACTGTATAATATGTTCGTCGACAATACGAGACAAATGTTTTTCTTCGATAATCATACTTAAAGAAGTTTCTCCTCTCGCCTTTAATGCTGATTTCACAATGCAAGTGGCATTAACGGAAGTTGGCGATAATTTGTTGCGTCTTTTTTTTCAAATCAGTTAAGAAAGAAAACGTTCTCTCCGTGTTTGGAAGTGACCGTACAGTATTTAGAAGTTTTTTTAAGTTTGGATATTTATCGATGTTATTTGGATACTGAGATTGCAAAATTTGTTTCCACATATCATCGAATCTTAATTTAGCGAGACTGATTTTCTTTTATAATGTAAAATCTAATGGCAATGCAAACTATTCTTTCTTTAAAGCGTCTTCATCGAAACCACCGATAGTTTGAGCTATAAACAAAACATTACTGAATGATATTTCTCTATCAGTATCTTGTAAACATACTAAAGACCCAAAAACAATTAATTTTGATTAAAAAATATCGTTTACAGGCAATTTTTTACAAATTTCTTCAGCAGCAGTCACGTAAAACATCAAACAGTTGCTTCGAACTATTGTAACTACGTTTTCGTGCCATTGCATCATTAATTCGTTCAGATATTCCTGACATTCTGATCCTAAGTTAATTTCATCAAGATTTCTTTGATTTTTTTTAAAGAAAACAATATATGTACAGAAAAACATTGTATATGCTCATTCTTTAAAAAATTTTGGCATATTTTATACAGTAATGTTAAAGATTTTGGTTGCAATTCGTGAATTCGTGTTTCTAATGACTGAAAATGTGCATTAAATTTGTTTAAAAAATCTAAAATATAGTGTAAGAAAAGAAAATAAGCTTTTGTCTCTACATTATTCATTATGGATAATAAATCTTTAGCAGAATCTGCTTTTTCGTTTACATCTATTTCATAAAGAAAGTATCTTATTGTATCCCAATATTTTAGAAGTCTTTCAACACAAAAATAGCGAGAAAGCCAGCGCGTATCACATAATTTTAATATTTTAAGACTTTTTTCTTGAAAACATTCACAAAAATCAGTGAATACAGCCGATTTTGGATTGCTATTAATATATCTAACAATTTTTAAAATAAATTCCTCGCAAAAATCGGGTATTTTATTGCACGCAGCATTCGCTACTAACGCGGAGGAATGGCAAGGGCACGAGAATGTTAGTAAACGTGGACATATTTGTTCTAATTTTTTTTTAAACGATAAATGTTTCCCTGTCATAACAGACGCATTACGTACCATGACAAGGCAACAATATTTGTAAATGGTATCTGTAATGTCCACATTTCATTTCTAAATGCTTCATACAACTTTTCTGCGCTGCAATCTCTAGCATCAATATCAATTAATTTGACTAATTGCGTTCTATTATGTAATGTTTTTGGCTCAATGTATCAAACAAGAAATGTCATCCATTTGTCATTACAAATATCAGATATTTCATTGATAAATATTGTAAATTTCGTGTTCCGAATGTTGTGCACAACACGTTCCGTTTTAACTGGACTCAAAACGTTCGTAATAATATTTGTACATTTTTTTACGATTAATTTTCATGCTCTGTAATACATTGGGATCCTTTTCAATATATTGGAACAAATTAAGAATCTCATTTGCAGTTGTATGAGCAATATTTTTTTCCGCGATTAATGTGTCTTCAAATCTTATTTCTGCTTCTTTTATACGCTCCTCGAATAACAAAAGCGATTCATTATTTTGTACATTTAAATTTTCATTCGATTCACTTGTTTCATTAAAAGAATTTTTACATTTGTTTACATGTGTTTCGGATTTTGCGTGACGATATGAGATAAATGAGCAGTAAGATACTTGTCACAGATTGAACAATAAAATAAGTTTTCATTATGTGGCGTTTCACGTAACCAACATTTGAACTGCTCAAAATATAATCATTTCTTTTTAAATGTTGATGTATTGTCACATTTTTTAAATTGAAATATCATTAATAGATAATAAATGAATAGAAGTATCGGATACCATTAATGGACAATGTATTATTTTCAAGATTATTTTTATGATGCGTAGAATTCGCATGTCTCGAAACATGTATTGAATCGCATGAATAATTTTTATTGCACACATTGCAGTAATACATACTGCTATCGGATGATACTTTACATATCCAAGATTTGTATCTTTAGTCTGTAAGCTAAGCTTCTGAAAACTTCGCTTACGTTTTTTAGTTAACTCGTCACACATGTCTCTATATAGCTATTAACTGAATATATAAATAATGTGTTATATAAATATGTTAATATATGTGTGTATATGTGTGTAAAATTCCACCTTACCTTCAATGTCAAATAATATTGAAAATGATGTGGATCGCTTGCGACAATGCGAGCAGGAATAAACAAGAATATAGCGCATCGTTGCGGAAAAACTTCGATGCTCATTTATCGGTTCGCGAACGCGTTTCACATATACACGCATATACCGAGTGGAGGAGTTGCACAGATTCCACGGAGCAAACGAGAAGACGACACGATGGAAGGTGAGTGCAAATAATTTATTATTTTATCAATAATAAGTCTATACTGTTTATTACAAATACCTTAATAACACACTTTATCCGGGATACATCCTAGGGATGTTCTTAGGATGTTCAAAGGACACACGGACGTCCTTTAGACATCCTCAGGACATCCCCTGAAGTTCTGTGCTGTTAGGATATTGGTATAAATAAAAATCGGTATACTATTATATAATTAGGATTGCTAGATGGCTGGAATTTTCCGTAAATTTCTACAAATGTATAATTTTAACGAAATCTTAGGTATCATGACACTTTTAACCCACTTTTTATGATCGCAACTATTGGCACTTACATTGAAGGTTTATAAAAAATTCATACACTCAACTTTGTGCGTTGTGGCATCACTGAGTTTTCTTGAAAGATTTTTTTCTAAATAATTATAAAAAATTTAAAGAATAAGTCTTATAGTTTTCGACTTAACTTTCTATTAAAAAAAAGTTATTTTAGTTAAAATGTCATAAAAAATGATCATTATTATAATTTATGTGGGCACATTAATACAAGAGGCTTAACTTAAATAATTTGTAATAATCTCTTTTTCAACTATCAGACATATCCTGGAAATATTAGTATTAACCTGGCAATTTTATATATATATAAAATACTGATATTAAAAGTGCAATAATAATACAATGTACCATAGACAAGATACATTATTATTATTATTATTATATAAATAAGTACCTCAAGTATCTCTTGGACAGTGCATTGTAGGCAAAAATGTTTTAGACATTAGTTTTATAAGTTCAACGGGGATATAAAGAGGTGCCATTGCAGGTTGTTCCTCTTATTTTAATTCTTATTTGAAAAAAAATTGTATGCAGTGTTTTGAAAAGCTTTCGAAGTAAGCTACGGGAATATGAATAAAAATTGGAGGAGTTGCATTTAAAATAATGAAAGTGATGTTATCTTGTCCTTAACAACATCACCTAAGAATGAAACTAATATTATAATATCTTTTTATGTCTCTCCCTTGAAATTATTAAACTTTTGTCTGAAACATTTTGTCCTAAAATGTACTGTTAGACGTATTTGACGTAATCATTACAAAAGAGACATCTTGAATTACATATTTTTTGGAATAATAAAATTCCTGCCGAAAATTTATTATCGCATATAGATTAGCATAAATGAAGCATATTAAAATTTGGTATCAATCTACAGTATCAACCTAAATAAAGTATTATAAGGGTACATTCCGAGTTACGCATGAAACGCATGATGTATCATTTATTCTTTTTGTTTATCAATTAATAAAGAAGGATACTTATGATACATCATGCGCTTAATGCGTATAATATTTATCTATTTTATTAGGAAAAGAAAGACAACGGTCGACATCATCCCTGTCACAGGTGGTGCTGCAATTGCAGCAGCTGGATTCGAGATTGCAATTGCAATCTCAACAAATACAACAATTGTAGCACTATCTGCAAGAACAGCAGCTGCAGCAACCGCAACAGCAGCAGCAGCAGCAGCAGCAGGAGCACCAGCAAGAGCTGCAGCAACCGCAGCAGCAGCAGGAGCGATGTGCGAGCGGCCAAGAATAGGTATTATTTTCTTATATGTATATTATACGAGGTCTGTTCAAAAAGTATCGCGAATTTTGAATTTCCACGGGTTACGTATATTCGATTTTCGATTTTTTGTGGCGTTATGTTGGTACTCATGTCTCTCACTTATGCCGACAAGTTCGGCCATTTTGAATGTTCAATTAATTTTTGAAAGCTGCTTTGCTTACACGTGTTTTGGCTAGTCTTCGATTTTTGCCTATTCCAAAAAATGGATCAAAGAATCTGTATCAAATTTTGTGTGAAAAACAAAATTAAGTGCGCGGACGCATTCCGAATGTTGACTGTGGCATATGGTGAAGTTACCTTGGATCGAAGCAACGTTTATCGGTGGTACAAAATGTTCTCAGAGGGCCGAGAAGATGTGAACGACGAAGAGCGTGCCGGACGCCCGAGCACGTCAACAACAGACGAAAACATTGATGAAGTGAAGAAAATAGTATTGGCCAATCGGAACGGTCAATAAGGAATATTACCTGCAAGTTATGCGCAATTTGCGCGAAGCAATCCGCCAGAAACGCCCGGATTTGTGGAAGAACAAAAATTGGCTTTTGCACCATGATAACGCCCCTGCTCACACATCGTTGCTTGTGCGCGAATTTTTGACCAAAAACAACACACTAATGATGCCGCAGCCACCGTATTCCCCAGATCTGGCCCCCTGTGACTTTTTCTTGTTCCCGAAACTGAAGAGGCCCATGAAAGGACGACGCTACGCTACGATTGAGGAGATAAAGACGGCATCGAAGGAGAAGCTGAACAAGATCACAAAAAATAATTTTTTGAAGTGCTTCGAGGATTGGAAAAAACGTTGGCACAAGTGTATAATATCTGATGGGGATTACTTTGAAGGGGACAAAATAGATATTCATGAATAAATAAATAATTTTTGAAAAAACACAAAATTCGCGATACTTTTTGAACAGATCTCGTATATCAAAAGATATGGGGGCATGGGAACGTTCTGGATAATATATAAATTTTAGTAAATTGTAATATATAATCATACACCTCTCCCATTAATCCAGAATATTATAAATCATGTTAAAACGCGATAGTTGACGAGAGATTAATTGTTTATGATTTTCCATTCGTGTTATGTACCACGGTCATAAATTCGATCGGCAAGAAAATGGCGTGGTCGAGCGCGTAAGGTGTGAGATCGGAAATATGTAAGTACTTCAATTAGTAGTAAACATATACATTAGGTCAAATATATTTTCATATCATTTTTGAAATTATTCGTATGTGTAATTTTTAAGCAATAGTTGTAGGAAAAAAAACCGATTCGCTTTTCAATAAGCAAATACAAAATTATTTTAAAATTACACAACATAAGATTGTGTAATTACAAACATAATTGAAGGCTTTTGTGTTAAAAAAACATTTTTTGTACAAAATTATATTGGTATCATCTTTATTTATATTATTAGTAATCTCGTTTTCGAAATTTTGTTTATTAACAGAATTTTAAATGCGGATGTGATAGTTAGACAGAAACATTTTATACAAAATATTAATCGACACGAAGCGTATTTGTCATAAACGCAACATCATTAGTAGTTGTATAGGGAGGGTTCTAACCCATCGGCTAGAGGGGAGCGCGGGGCGTGGGGGGTACTCGTTGGCGCGGAGGGCACGGAGCGTGGGAAGTACTCGCTGGCGCGGGGGAAGGCGCAGTAGAGGGGGAAGGCGCGGGAAGTCCCGGCGGCATCGTTGTAATAGGACCCACATAAACAATGCGTTTCTTTTTTTTTTTCATCCGCCGCCGCCGCCGCCGCCGCCGCCGCCACCGCTGCTGTGGGCCCCGCGTCCACCCCAAAAATGCGATAACATACGTAGACTGTTGGAAAAGTTTCTGCAAACAGTATGAAAAAAAAACATACAATTTGGTAAATGGCTTTATTATTTTTTGAAATATTTATTTTTAAGATCGATACATTTTTGCATATGCTCCGAGCAATTTTCGAAGCATTTTTTCCATTCTAAGGTTGTAACCTCAGATATCAGTGTACAAAATGTTTCAACAGCTGCTTCAGGCTACTCAAATCGCTTACCACGCATCTTATTTTTAATGTTGGGAACAAACGAAGTCATTAGGTGATAAATCAGGTGAATATGGATGACTCAATGAGTCATTAAGTCGACATTATTATTGGATAAAAAATCAACGGTTTTATGTGCTTTGTGACAGCTGACGTTGTGATGAAGGATGATGCGACGATTTCTGTTTGTTCTACGCAATTCATTTATGACTTTTGGCAAACAAATTATTGTATACCAATCAGTATTTACAGTCCTTTGATCCTCTAAAGCCACGGTTGTCACATGTCCAGTATAACCGAAGAAACAAGCAATCATTTGCTTGGCAGCATTGCGTGAACGAATAACTTTTGTTGGTTTCGGTTCATTTTGAAATACCCAAACAGTGGACTGTTGTTTACTTTCGGGTTCATACGAATAGATCCATGTTTCGTCCCCAGGTAACAATGTGTAGACCTAATTTGACCGATCTCGAATTTCTTGAGCATTTCTTTGCTCCATTTAACACGAGCCTGTTTTTGAGCTTCAGTCAAATTGTGTGGGATCCAACGACTGCAAAGTTTCCGTACGCTCAAGTGATCTTGCAAAATCGTATGTATTGCTTTCATGTCAATGCCTAAGGATGCCTGAATCTCGCGGTATGTTATATGTCGGTCTCGCTCAATCATTTCACGCACAGCATCAACATTAATGGCAACAACAGACGTGGATGGACAACCTTCACGGAATTCATCACTAAGAAAGGTACGTCCACGCTGGAATTCAGCAAACCAATTATAAACAGTCCTATTGGATGGTGCTTTATCCCCAAAAGCCAAATGAAGTCGATCGATGCATTGTTTCGGAATTAGATTACATTTGTAATCGTAAAAAATTATTGTCCGAAAATTGTCTTGCAAAATTTCCATTTTCTTACAAAATAACTTCTTTTAAAATATTATGCAAACAAAACTAGTTGGCTTGGGTACAAACTGTCAATTGAACTATAGGTTAAAAATGTCTAATTTTATGGATATGATAGTAGCAGAACGTTGGCGCCACTGGAAGTACTAGATTGCAGAAACTTTTCTAGCAGCCTACGTACTTCTACGAAATACGCAACATTAAAATTTGTAAGTGTGAAAGTATCCACTCTTGGCCAATATGTATTGCAATATTGATTGGGAAATGTTAACAATTTATTTACATTTTCCAATCAATAAATTTTCTACTAACACATACACATATAATCACATGCACACACGCGCGGACTCAATGTTTATTAATAAATTGATTTTTAATTTTAATATTTTTTAATTTTATTTTTTATTATAATAGTTATAATAATTATAATGATAATGTTGGGTTATATTCCCGGGGCCAATAGTGGAAGTGGTGTCGCGAACACTATGGCCTCCTCCACGGCTTCTTCTGCGGCTTTTTCCGCGGCCACCTCTGGCTCTTCCTCTCCAGTGAAGAATTATGCCTCTTCGTGCATACTATGATGCACGGGAGAGGCCATGTCCTCGTCTATTTCGAACTAAAAATTTATTTCATTATTTTGCGCATTAAAGTATTAAAATATGTTAAAAAATTAAAATAGTTTATAAGGTATTTTATATTTAATGTGCAAATGTATGCCACACTAAGGTATAAAATATCTTACACTCATTCTGTATGTGTACGAGTACAACACATCATCTACGTTAGAGTCTTCCCACATATTTTTCAATAGTGTCTCGCTCACAATACTGTTCACAATAGTTTTTTCAAGGATCCACGTTTCTAATGTGCTTGACTACGTTGAATATATCCTCAACGTTCGCACGATGATCAACCATACTTTCTTTCCACTATTCTTATTGCGATCAATTCGTTCGTCTTCCAGGGCATCAACTGCGGAACTGAGCGCTTATAATTCATTATATATTTTATTTGTGACTTTTTTGTCCCTTTGACTATTGAGGCATACTTTATTTAGAAGTAGATAAGGCAGCATTTGCGAGCGATTCTAGTTTATATAAACAATATCAACGCTTCTTTTAACGCGTCGCTACATGTTATCGATCTCTCCTCTCTCTTCTCAGAAAAAAATCGTTATCGACACTTCTTCGAAGAAACTTAAGGGTTGTGGGAACGCAGTGTGTTTTCATACTTTTCACTAGAGTATTACTTTCATTTTACTGTAGAAGAGTTATGTTTTGCTTAGCAGCCAAACATCGGCGCTTCTCTTAACGCGTCGCGATGTGTCATCGATCTGATAGTGTATATAAACAGTGTATATAACTTTTTTTCTTTTAATCGTAAATTTCGATTACGAGTGATAAGACATGGATCGTGTAAAAGAATATATACATTGAAAATCGATCGAGCGCAAGGGGTACCGTCCCTTGTCACCAGGTCCGCCTAGTCCACCACCATCGAGGGAAAAAGCGCGATATTGGGAATGTTCAGGTGACAAAGCGAGATATTGGGAATGTCCAGGTGAAAAAGCATCAAAATTATCAACATACTCATCGACATCATCAAAATCGCCAACATGTTTATCATCATCATCATCGGCGTCATCAATGCCATCAAAGTATAAGCTAGCGATGTTCGAGTCATTGATTGCATTCGAACGCTGTCGATCGCGAAAAAAAAATGTAATAAAATATGAGAAAAAACATGATGTAATAAGAGACGAATAAAAAATTTTCATCCACATCATTTTATATATGTTCTTTATTTTACTCTCCATCCATCCATCCTATACCTCGACGTGCTAATAAAAACTATATTGAAAAAAAATGCGTCATAAAAAATGTCAGATAATAATTGTGTCATGTAAAGCGTCGTGCACGCTCTATCTTTCTCTAACGTGCGAACCCTTGTTATCTACGCATTTTTGGGGTGGACGCGGGGCCCGCAGCAGCGGTGGCGGCGGCGGCGGCTGCGGTGGCGGCGACGGTGGCGGC